GTGCTAGTGAAAGATCTGTTCCACGATTCTCTCCTAACTTCCGGTAGTTCTTCAGCTTCAGTTCTTCTGGTAGTTCTTCAGCAGCATAACTTCTTTCTTTACATGGTGTGTCTGTGTCTTCACATAGCCATGTCCTTATAAGGACACCAGTCCTATCAGATTAGAGGCCCATTCCACTCCGGTATGGCCTAACCTAATCACATTTGCAATGACCCTGTTTCCAAATAAGCTTTCACCATCTGGTACTGGAGCTTAAGATTTTAAAATGTGAATTTTGAAGGGATATCTCATAGTAGGTGATTAGGGAAAAGAATGATGTTTGCCCTAAACCTGAACATGAACTGAATTTTCTACCAAAGTAGGAAAGTGATGGCCTCTCAAGGAAAATGTGTCCCCAGGTCACCTGTCCGTACAGAACACAGAGACCCACACAGAAGAGGGCCGCTCTGCAAACTACAGAGCCTACAACCATTATTTCCAGTATTTTACATATAAGCCAAGCACACAGCTCTTTCTGTAGGAGCAATGGAGGAGAGCAGCTTACCTAAAAGGTGCTAAAAACTTCCCACATTTGACATTTCAGAGTCACTAAACATTGAAATGTACTTAGTATGTGCCACACACTATCACATGCAGGATCTTGCTGACTCCTCTAAAGGTCTATTGTCATTCCCATTTCTATGCTAGAAAAAGAGAGACCCAGAGAGGTCAGTTTTGCTTGACAAAGGCACAGATAAATAGCAGAGCTAAATGCTAAACCTTCTGTGATTGACTTCAAATCTCCTTCCTGATGACACCACAGTAAGAAATCCATAGAGTGGCCCATCCTGAGCGGGATACTGAACTTGAACTGTGAAATATAGCTTTCCTTGACCAAAAATGAAGAAAGAGCCTTCCCCCTCCAGAATCGCTTCTAGTGGGTAGGGCTACCTCTGTCTCCTTCTCTCCTTTTCTCTCTGTCTCTCTCTGTCTCACTGTGTCTCCCTGTGACTTTTAATTTTTTAAAAAAATTTTTTAAAGGTAAAGTATTACCTGGGCTCTTGAGCTCTTCTTTTATTGTGCTAATTGCTGCCTTTTGCCATTTCATTTAGTAAAGGCACAAACCCAAGCCAGGCCCATCCTGACATGGATACTGAACTTGAGCTGTGAAATACTGCTTTTGTGCAGCACACAAATGGCCCACAGTTTTCATTTATTTGCTTTTTAAAATTAACATCTAATGTTTTTTATTATTTTTTTTTACTTTCTCCTTTTTCATTTCATTTTTTCTTTTTCTTTCCTCTTCTGTAATTCTTTTCCTTTTTTCTTTTTTATTCATTGTCTCCTCAGCCTCTAAGCACTTAGTGTCTAGACAGGTCCAGGTGTACAGGATCTAAACATCTGAATACAATTAGGGTCAGAATATTCATCTATTCTCACTGAATCTGATGCACAAAGAGTGAAAATGGAACAGAAGAGAGCTTGCAGATCACCTCCTGGACACCTCTGAACGCTCAGACTGGACTTTAAGAAGTGGGAAGAAATGCACCATCCATTAGATGACTAGAAATCACCATAGGGTCACAAGAAATATGGGAAAGCAAGAAAGTACCTCTCCTCCAAGGGAAAAGAATAACTCCTCTTCATCTTCAGACAATATAATGAAACTCATGGAAATGTCAGATAAAGAATTTAGAATATTCATAGTGACAAAGCTAACAGAGATGGAAGAGAAGAGAGGCAATGAACTGCAGAAGAGGCAGGAGAAAGGAGCTGATGAATTCCAGGAGGTAAGGAAATTCTTGCAAAATCTAAAATAGGAAATACACACTATAGAAAAGAATCAAATGGACCTGTTAGAGATGAAGGCTATAATACAGGAAGTCAAAATCTTCCTTGAATGTATTAAAAGCAGGCTAGATCATACAGAAAATCAAATCTCAGACGTAGAAGACAGAATCGCTGGCCTAGAAAAATCCACCAAAAAGACTGAGAAAATTGCCCAAAGAATGAGAATAATATATGAGAAATACTAGATACCATCAAATATCCAAATATCCGGATAATTGGTATTCCAGAAGGTGAAGAGACTCATAAGGGCATTGATAATCTATTTCATGAAATCCTGCTAGAAAACTTTCCAAACCTGGAGAGGCATTCAAAGATCCAGTCCCAAGAAATACAAAGGACCCCAAATAGAATCAATCCAAGAAGATCTTCTCCAAGGCACATTATAGCCAGATTGACCAAAACCACAAAGACAAGATACCAAGATTGACAAGAGAGAAATGTCAAGTTACCTACAAAAGATATCCCAATCAGGCTAATAGCGGGCCTCTCATGGGAAAAAATGAGAGCGAGGAAAGAATGGGAAAATATACTCAAAGCGTTAAGGGAAAAGCAATTTCAACCAAGAATACTGTACCCAGCAAGATTATCTTTCATAAGGGAAGAAAAGACAAGAATGTTCTCAGTAAACAAAACCTGAATGAATTTACCAACACCAGAGCAGATCTCCAAGAAGTTCTCAAGGAAGTGCTATACCAGGGAAATTAAATACAGATACGCAGAAATAAGAGTTCAAAAACTAAGAAGAGGGCCAACATAACTGTAGGGACAAGTCTGGAGCTGAATATCCCAGAATTTAATCGGGAAGATGGAACCGCAACAGAAGATAGATTAAGTACATGAGACTGAACTGGTGAAAAGCATTTTATTCATGATAGAATATGTGGCATTAGTGAAAGAGAGAGAGATGAAATCTCAAATAGGGTCTCTTCCCCAGACCTCCAGTTTCTCAGAATCCCGAGTATACACATATGTGCCCAGTATGTTCTCAAACCAAATGGAATATCTGAAATATCTGAACCCACAGTCAGCCATATGGCTTCCAGCACTGTAGTTCAGTGTGTTACCTATTGCACCACCAGCCTGAACCTAAAGATCATTTTATACTTTTCAGTAAAATAAATTCTCCCTTACTAAAAAATAAAAAAAAAATCCATAAAATGTGTCATGCCTTGGGACCAGCAGTTAACGTAATGGCTATGTCGCTGGACTCCCACATAGTCGACCGTGGTTCGCGTCCTGGACCCAGTGGCTTAAAACTCACGCCGGGCACGTGTGCGTGCGTGCCCAAGATCCTGAGAGGAGAATGGAGGAGAAGGGATTGCAGTGTGGCCATCCCCCCTGGGGGGGTGATTTCTCGCTTTCTGTCTCTATGTCTCTCTGTCTGTCTGGCAAGTGCATACACCCTATAGAGAAAACCTCTCAAAAAAAAAAAAAAATGTGTCATGCCTCTGGTCCTCTTCACAGCCATTCCTGAGGGCTAGAGCCAGTCATTCTGTCCCCTCCCTCAATCTTCGGGCAGGTCAATAAGAAAGGGTGCAGGGAGGAGGGAGGCTACATCTAGCAAGTTCTTCCCTCCCACTGCAGAGAAATGAGCCTAGAGGAAATCTAACCAGGGCCTAGAACTACGGAATATTCGAACATGGAGTCCAGAAGCCACAGCAATCACCTTTGTTGTCAGAGGTGACTTGGAAGGAGGGAAATAGCTGGCCCACAAATCTATAGTTGGCTGGCCACTGGGGCAGCACCAAGGCCCTTTTGTATGGGCCCCGACACTGACATACTTTCTGGACTTAAAGTGATCATTTAAACTGTTCCCGTCTAGTATAAAATGCAGACAGTTGAAACCAGCGAGGTTAAGCCAAGCTCTAGAGATCTGATAGTGGGCCAGTCAGTCATTCAACATTAATGGAGTTTGCACGGTCCACAGGATGCTCTGGGGAGACACAAAGAGGTGGGAGACAGGCTTGTTCTGAACATCATCTAGCTCAGTCTCAGGAAAATGAGTGATGGAATTATACAAAAAAATGGCCACAACCACAGGCAATCAAAAAAAAAATTTTTTTTAAAGGAAAGAAAACAGGATCACCACACAGTGGTGCAGCAGTAACACAAGTGGACCTACATGAGAAGAGTGCTGGATTTGCCTCCCAGATCTCTCTGAGCATGCTGGGTGCCCAAGTGTATGCCCTGATCCGGGCTGGCTGAGAGTGGGGGTGGATCAGAGCCTGCGGACCTTGTTGAGGGTGCTCATCTCTCTCTCACTGTTTCTCTCTCTCTCTCTCTGTGTGTGTGTGTGTGTGTGTGTGTGTGTGTGTGTGTGTGTGATGGATTAAATAAGTAAACATTTTAAAAGTGAATTTGAAAAAGTGAAGGAATGAGAAACTAAATGTATTGGAAGTTCATAATTAAAATCAGATGGCCTAGCATGTACAGACGGGGTCACCGAGTCTGTTTGCCCTGCTATGACACAGAATGTGCTCCTCCCACCTTCTGTTCTGGCAGTATTGGAAGGCCCAAAAAAAGAGGAAACACACAACACACTGTAATAAGTATAAACAATAAAGGCAAGTCATTTCTCTCACTAACTTCATCCTTCCGTCTGGCTGGAGTACCTAGCAAAGCCATGGGCAATCTCCTGCCAGACACAGACTTTCACCAGAATGTCTGGATCAAAGGAACAGCTGGAACCCACCCTCCAGGTGTGTAGTTTGCGTGGGGCTAAGCACCTGGGTACGTGAAAACAACTAGTCCATATGAAGGTTTTACTTTTCACGGGGATTTTTAGGTGTGATGATAATTTTTAAAATAATGATACATTTTGGAGAAATGATTTGCTGTCATCCAAATGCCACTTTCTCATCTATAAAGTGGGGCAATAAATGACAGGTGTCCAATGCAGACTCAGTACTGCCTGACCCACAGCCGGTGCTCTTCCCACCTGGCTGCGTTGTAGACATTAACTACGCTTCATTTCCTCACCACTAAACATAAACACAGAATTAGCCACAGTTCCTCAGGTTGGCAAGAGGGCCAAGTAAAGTCTCTGAGGACTGTTGAACCATTGCTCAAAATTCGACGGGTTAATTAAGCCATGCCCAGGAAGGTTTCAGCAGGTGTCCAGGGCTGATGGAAGGATTCCCATCCACGTTGTCCTGCCCAGCAACACTTACCTTTATGTCTTTGGGACTGGACTGGGCCAGGGCCTTCTTCTCTGCTTTGGAGGATTTAGAGGAGGTTGAGGAAACTTCACGGTGAGACTTGAGATTGCTAAAGCTGCTGAGATATTTTTTGCGCAAGGCCAGCAGCTCCTGCAGGTACTGCAAGCAGTCCTGGGTGCGCGAGTACATCCACGCCCGGTCCTCCTCCTGCTGCAGGTAGCACAGACTGGTGTCCATGCTGCTGGTGCTTTTATACTTCTTTAAGGACTCGCTGAACTTCTCCCCGTGGTCCCCGACCACGTACATGGAGCTGCTGCGGATCAGCCGCACCGTGGGGCTGCCTCCGTCGTAGTAGGGGCTCTCCGCCACCGCTGCCTTCCTCTGCCGACTGGGGTTGAACATGGAGTGGATCTTTCTGAACATGGTGCTCGGTTTCTCTCTGTGGGCACCTTCCAGCTGCTTGTGCTGCCGCCACTTGATCTATCTGAGGGTGGAGGAGCCGACATGCAGGCCTCACGCCATCTGCTTTCCCCGAGGCCTCTGATCTCTGGAATCCCAGCGAGCACGGGCCAGGTCAGGCGGGTGGCCTGTGCATCTCTCATGGGGGGGATATTTACATCCCATAACCAAGATGCCATATACAGCCTGAAGACAGGAGGCAGCGCACTGTGAGCTTAGAAGCAAGGGCCCTGGCTGGCTTTGCCAACCATTTGCAGCAAATTCCTCTGTGACCTTCCCTGGAAGGCCCTGGCTGGGAGGGAAAAGTTGGAGGATGCTTTGTGGGCTCAGTCATTTTCCTTTCTTTTCATTTTCCATCTCTGGATGTGGTCTCACTCGGTTGTATTTGATCTTGGTGTGGATGTTTTAGGTTTCCCACCTTGGCTGAGCTGGCCCTTGTTCTGAAGGCCCTGGATCCACAATGAAGACCTACTTAGCAGGGACAGAAATGCATGTTCCTTAGCCCAGAAATGCGTGTTCCTCAGGGTAAAATCCAATCTCCTGGGAAGGGCCAGGGCAGCAGCAGCCAGGGTCCCTGGCAGGTGCCTGCAGATCCCCGATAAGTCGGGCTCTGAGCGGGCAACAGAGCCTCCTGGAGGAACCTGGCCGTGCGGTAACGGGACCTCACAGGTGTCACCAGATAGCAGCCCATTGTGGAGGTGGGAGGATTCAGGTATCCAGACTCGCCCACTTTCCCCACACTGGCATAAAGGAGCTGAAGGGTGGCTGCGTGCCTGGGGCAGGCACACTTTTTAACCCAAGCACACTTTAACCTAAATAGTCTAGTTAAAATCAGACATAAGTGATGTTTTCAAGAGCATTGTAGGAGTACATTAGAGTGCCAGCAATGTTCTCACTAGGATTTTTCTCAGACAGATGCTAAACATCGTTACTGTGCTCATTTTTCTACGTGGTCTATTTCTCTCCCAGGCTTCAATCAGAGACACTTTTCTTTTTTTTAGAATTATTTAATTTATCTTTATTTATTTATTTACTTATTTTAATTTGACCAGAGAGGGACAGAGAGAGAGAGAGAAAGCAAGCCACCAGATCCAGGACTTGAACCACAGTTGGCCATGTGGGAATCCAGCACCCTTAACCACCATGCCACCTGCTGGCCTCCAGAGACACTTTTCTTAAGCTGGGATGGGCATTAGAGGTGACTAGGGGCCCCCAGAAATTGTATGTAGAGTGTTACTGGATGTACTCGGCACAGTTTATTTTTGTTGTTTGCTCTGGGTATTTTTGTTTTCATTTGTTTTTCTTGAAAGAGAAAAGAAGTTCAGGTTTTTATTGGATATTCAAGGGGTCTGTGATAAAAAGAGAAACAGTTCTACATTATTATATCCTGCTGTAGAACAATGCACACTTCTTTGTGTTTAGGTACAAGACAGCGTTATAAACGTGTTCGCACTGAGGACCTCCTCTGCGTGTGGCATTCTCCTGGGTACAGATATTCACATGTACAACGGGACTTCGAAAAGTCTGTAGGAAAACAGGATTAAAGTCTGAGTTTATTTTGGTGAAAAACAATTATGAAATCCATGTATTTTTTTCATAATATACATTTTCCATACACTCCTTGAAGACCCTCTCATAGAAGCATCTAAGCCTTACACTCAGAGTGCTTTGGGGTTGACAAAGCGTTTCCATGTGCATTAATGTATGTGACATTTGTGGCTTCCTTTGTGGGAGAGACATCATTTCCATTATCATCTTTAGCGGTCGTCAATTCACAGAGGAAGAAGGCATGCCCTTCAGAGGTTATGAGACTGGTCTAACATGTAAATCTTGGTGCAGAATCAGTCCACAGCCCCAGTGCTTCAGCTTTAAGTCCTATTTACTGGTCTCACATCCCTCTGGCGGCTGTGGACACTTAAAGTCACTGAGGCCTGAGATCTTCTAGGTGTTTCTATCCCACTCCTTTCTCTGGCTTCACTGGGTTACAGTATGGAAGCACTCAGCATAGACAAGTGCAGGCAGAATTGCTTCTTGGGGCTATCCAGGGGCTGTCACTACACAGCCTTTCTCAGCGGGTTTATCATTATGCTTATTCTACATGGATTTAGATGAGATTTAAATAGATAAAAATGATACCTACTTTCATATCCAGACTGTCACAAGCGACCTAACCTCTTGATCACAATGGGAATAAAACTGTCTTCCTATATATTCACCTCCTGCCTACTCCTCCCTCTCTGCTAGATTCTTGGCAGGGCCAGACTCACAAAGGAAATTCAGAGAAAATTTTGCTGACATCGACTTGCAGAGCGTTTCCTGAATACTAATGGGCAGGACGTTTAACACCATCTTCTACCCAACTAGCTGATTCTCATCACCTCCCATGCCAATCCTTTCCCCAAAGCCACCCCCTCTCCTGCCAAAGGGTTCAAGGGAAGAGAATGCTTTCTCCTTATAAAAGTACTCGCCATCTCTGCTGGAGAAGTGAAATCCATCCAGATGGCAATTGCCTCTGCTGCACCTGTTCAGATTTGCTCGTGGCCTCAGCTCTAAGAATGGGTGTGAAATCACCTGGTGGTTTTACCACGTGCACTTGGAGGACATCGCAATTGGCATCAAATCCCAAATCAGGCAGTCCATAGGCCTTGTCCCCGAAATGTGGAGAACACTGAACAAGTATGTAAGCAGGGAGAGAGAAGAGCCCGTCTCCTCCCCAGTCCAGCACTGTGCCCCTCCATGCCAGCCCCACTGTGGACCACATGCTTCGCACTGTGCACAGACCAGACCTGTCTTTGGGGAGGTATCATAACCTTGAGGCTTAACTAGAATCCCAGAGACTCTGCACAAAGTAACTTGGTGTAACAGACCTTGCTTTGTTCCAGAAATTTCTAAAATTTCTCAGAGGGAAGAATCCTAGGGTGACAGCAGAGCAATCCAGAGGATTTATCCTGCAGTGATGGTGGGCAGGGACAGCTATGGGCAGCGGGCACAGAAGAAGGTGACTGAGCTTCTGCCTGCTCCCAGGGGAGCTCAGGTTTGCAGCGATGCCCAGTGGGCAGGTCAGGTGGTAGAAAAGAACATGAGCCTGAGCTTCACTCAGATCAGGTTTGAACCAGCAGTTATTTAGACTCTGAGCTTTGGAAAAGACTCCGAGCATCTGCAACTGTAGATATCATCTATTTATTTAAGAGGCGTGTTGTAATGATTAAATGAGATATTAGAGAGTGCTTAATGTATCATATTTGCTCAAGAAAAAGTAGATACTGCTGATTTCATAGGGTTGTTGTAATGACTAAATGAGATAATATATCCTGTGGCCTATATCTCCCACATTTCCTCCTCTCTGCACCCTGACTCTGGCAACCACCATTGTATTCTCTCTCCTTATGTATTAAACTATTTTTATAAAGTTCCCACATATAAGTGGAACCAAGCAGTATTCTTCTTTGTGTCCATCTTATTTCACTTAATATAATGTCCTCCACATCTATCCATTTGTGGCAAGTGGCAGTATCTCCTTTTTTAAGGCTGAATAATATTCTATTGTATGTATATGTGTGTATACCAGTGTGTGTCATATATATATACATGTATATATAATATGACATACATATATATACACACACAAGTACACACGTGTATTTCACAGTATTTTATCCATTCCTCTGTCAACAGACAGTGGTTGTTTCCATATCTTGGCTACTGTGAATAATGCTGTAACGTGCAGATTTGTAGGATGAATAAGTCTAGAGCTCTAATACACAACATGAGGGTTATAGTTATTAATATTTATTGTACTGGGAATTTTTGCCAAAAGAGTAGGTTTTAGGTGCTCTTGCCAAAATAATGTAGGTTAACCATTAAGGTGATGGATTTTAATTTGCATGAATATTTCCTCAAGATATATCAAAACATCACAATATATACCTTAAATATACATGAAAAATAGATTTAAAAAAAAACACAAAAATAGATGAGATAATACAGAGAGATACTTATCATGTCATATTTGCTCAATAAAAAGTAACAGTTATTACTTCGTAATATACATAAAAATAGTAGTACTTCTACTTCTGTGTTGTAGCTCCCAATATACAGATGCCAAACTATTATGCCAGGCAAGTATGTAGGATCAATTCATAATTCAAAAGAGTTATCATCCTTTAATATTTGTAGGGATCACAAGCTCAAATGGGTCAGCTCTAATAACAATCAGCTTAGAAAGTCGCTAGTTTAGACCAATGCCATTAATAAGGCTGTTTCCCTGAGATGCTAGTTGGGTTGCCCCATCATGACCAACCCTCCTGTTCACAGGGCATGTAGCCAAGCATTCTGTCTCTTTCTGGGTGGAGTCCAGGAAATACCTCATCATTTCACTCTCTGTAGTCAGATGTGTTGCTCAGTATCATGCTATAACCCAGGAAAGTCTCAGTGGAGCACACCTCTTAAGGTTGAAGCTCCTTGAGACGAGCAGTTAGCATAATGGCTATTTTTCTGGACTCCCATGTAGTCATCAATGGTGGTTCAAGTCCTGGACCTGGTGGCTTAAACTCACGCCGGGTGCATGTGCACGTGCGCCCATGATCCCAAGAAGAGAATGGAGAAGGAATTGCGGTGTGGCCATCTCCTCTGGGGGGTGATTTCTTGCTTTCTGCCTCTGTCTCTCTCTGTTTCTGGCGAGCACATGTGCCCTGTAGCAAAAACCGCTCCAAAAAAAAGAAGGCTGAAGCTCCTTCAATTCCACCAGCCAGAAACTGCACTTCCTATAAAGAATCCCAAATAAAAGAAAGCAGTTGGTACCTTTGTTCCCTAATTGCATAGCTAGAAATCCCCATGGCTGCCTCGCTGACCAGAAGTGACTCTGGGTCAGCAGTTCCCAGAAAGCAGGTAAACTGTGGAGGGAGAGAGGAATGGAGGAAGGGTGCAGAGGAAGAGGGGAGAAGCTGAAGAAGGAAGAGATCAAG